TTACAATTTACTCCTGTCCATTATCCTTTAATTTTTATGACCAATGGTATAGATATACACACATACTTATTTTAAGTTTTGCCTACGGACCTAAAAATTTCGACCAAAGACACGGCACTGTCATACATTTATTGTCTCACCGTATCAGCTGCGCAGTTTCACACCAATATTCAGTGAGAATATTTCGAGGGGTAATCCAAGGGTCTTCAGCTTTCTTCCTCCGTCATCAAATTTTCGCAAGAATCTTCAGCTCTGCATGTATTTTGAGTGTTCCCTTGCTGCACACAAACTATACTCTCACAAATATTCATACCTTCTTCAGGGCTGGAGATAACTTGGACTCATCTGTACAGCACTTTCAGATAGACAGTCTTGCATGCTGGAGATAAAAATCTTTCATTCCATATGCTGATGCCACTGCTAGGTTTGAAATCATTGAGTTTTAATCAAAAATTCGTTAAAATTTTGCAAAATACACAATAGATAATAAAACAAATTTGCAATTCAAAATTTGGGCTTCCAGGTCCCATATTCGGGTGGAGGATTACATTATTCAAAATTTGATGGCTCTAGGTACCATTTTTTTTTTTCACAATGTGAGAAACATACATACAATCATGCAGATTCCCCATTATTTAATTTCTTTAAATTAAAATGACCACACGTCCTGATTTTGGCGGGACAGTCCCGCTTTTTTTAAGACTGTCCCGCATCCCGCCGATTTTTAAAAATGTAACGCTTTTTAGAAAACATCTGCTTTTCTTATTTTAAATGTATTGTTAAAATATATTACCTATTATTTATTAATTATTATAGTAAATATAAAGAAATAAAAAATACATAAATAAAAAAACACATAAAATGCATGCAGAGTAAACTAAATTAGGCGATGTAACGAGTTAGATTTACTCGATGGTGTTCGATCATTGTCATTATGTCTCGTCAAGGAATATGTATTGTTAACAGAGGAAAAGCTAGCATTAGCTTTCCACACCATAAGCCTCAATCTAAGTTTCAGATCAATTGATTGTATGTCGCAAAAGATCAAAACATTGTGCGACAAAACGTTTCATGTGCAAGGACAAAAACTGAAACAATTATTTGTAATATTTTTTCACTATATTCGTTTTCACAATTGCAGAAAGAATTAGATTAAATGCACATTTATATCCATATATTATGATGCTTCCAACCACAAAGATTTAAAAGTATTTCCCACAATTGTTAGACTTTTTGATCTAGAAACAGGAATTAAAATTAGAATATTAGATTTTATTTCATTGCCAGGTGAAATTTCACAAATAATTTTTGATTCAATAAGTACTATTTAAAAAAAAAAAAAAATTATTTGAACAATAAAACTATTGCCTATTCTGAGGATAACGCTAATGAAAATTTTGGTGGAAAAGCTAGAAGAGACATCAATGATGTTTTTACGAAACTTAACAAACGTTTGAACCAAAACATTATTGGAGTAGGTTGTGCAGGGCGCATTCTACACAGTACTATTCAAACAGCATCTTATTTCCAGTGGATCTTGAAAATATTATTGCAAAAATTTATTCGTATTTTTAAACATATATACTGTGCGTGTTGAAAGTTTGAAGGATTTATGTGAAAGCGCAGAAATCAAATATAAAAGAATTGGGTGACATTAAAAAAAGGAGGTTTTATGATTTAAAACATTAAAAAAAGGAGAAAAAGCATCATTGCTTTCAATCAGCAGAATATGTGGAAGAATCTTTTTAATTTATTAGTAACCCTTTTCCAAAGAATAATATTTGCGAAAATGATATTTTTGATGAGGGGTAAAAAGATATGTTACTGAAGAAAAAATTAAATGTTGGTTGTCTGCAAGTGTGGAAACAGACAAAATATGGATGGAGTTATTCCTTCATTTTAAACAGAAAATATTCCTTATGAAAATATTTTGAAAATTGCAGAACACATGCTCTTCCTTCCAGGAACAAATGCAGCAATAGAACATGTTTTTTCTAGTATCAATAAAATATGAACAATTGAAAAAACACAGTTGAACATTAAAACTTTAAAATCTGTATTAAGGGTAAAATATAATTTGATCAATTCATGTGAGAAATTTCACATTTTAATAAATGATCCAAATCTATTGCAAAGTATTCACTGGGATAAAAATATCACCATGAAATAAAATCATGATTTTTTTTAATAAAATTTTAAATTAATTAAAAAGCATAATATTCAAATGATAGTTTTTTACAAATATTTTTATAGTTACCAATAGTGGTACAACTCTGATATATGCCCTAATTTCACCAAATACAGTGACACGTGTTCTGCGCTGGTTTTTGGCACGATTGCGTGTTGTATGGCAACCCAGTTGACGTTGAAAAATATTTCGCTGGAGTTCGTTGGTTTTTCGTCATGCTCTGTGTCTGAGAAGCTAGGGGGGATAGATAAAATGGTGAAAGTTGTTGAATTGAAGTTCAGCAAAAGGAAATATCGTCGTGGTCATCCTGTTGAGGGGCAGTGGGTATTTGGAGGTGTGGAAACAGGGTCTGGGAGATTATTTTTAGTGCTGTGCATGATAGAAGTAGGGATTTGTTATTTTATTTATTTGTGAATCATAGTATGAATTTTCTGGATAGTGTGCCTGACTGTCATATAAATGCGATAGTGATTACGTGGCGACACGTTAAAGGCGGTATGAAATTGGTATTTCTGCTGTTCGAGAAAGCAATAATTCATGGTAAGTGCATTTTATTTTATTCTTGTTCTTATTTTGTAGAATGATATGTTAATTGTTTTTTTAATATGAATTTCTCTTGTTATTGTTGTTTTTTTTAATTGTTTGAAATTTATTTTAGTTATTTTGTTGATTAGTGCCTAACGTCTAAATTGTGCAATTCGTAGATGTTTTTTTTAGTAGATAGTTGAAACAGAATGCTGTGTACATGGTATTCTTTGAAATTTATTGTTCTTATGTTAATTTATTAAAGTGAGGTCTGTGTAGTTCGTAGATTCGTTTGTTGCCTAAATTGTGCAATTCGTACATTTTTTTAAAGTTTAAACAGGATGCTGTGTACATGGTATTCTTTGAATTTGTTGTTATGATAATTTATTAAAACGAGGTGTTCGTAGATTCGTTCGTTGCCTAGATTGTGCCATTCGTAGATGTTTCTTTAAGTTAAAACATATCTCTGTGTACATGGACTCTTGTCAAAAAATTTTGGTTAATTTTGGTTAGAAACTTTACGGTTTTGCTATCAAATTTTTTTTTTTTTTTTTTTTTTTTTTTTTTGTTGTTTCAGATTTTTAGCTTAAATTGTGTGTTCAAAACGTGGTTTTTGGAGACATTTTAAGCTTGAAGTTCAAAATGTAGATAGCAATATTTAGATAATTTAAATATATTCAGATAGCAATATTTAGAAAAATTTACATAGGCAGGGTGGAGTTTCTCGCCAAAAATGTTTGGCGACTTGAGGGCACATATCAGAGTAGTTCCCCAATAGTTAATAATAAATATATTTTTGTATATTTATAGACAAGTATATGAATGTGTACAATAATATATATATATATATATATACACATATATATTTAATTATTGGTCCGCTTTCATAACCAAATTACAATTCTCATTTCATTCCATTTGTCCCACTTTGTTTCAATGAAAATGTGGTCACTTTACTTTAAATATAATACAGGGCGATATTTGGTGGCAACAATTTGAAAAGTGATTGAACACTCTTAGTGATTCAATGAAAAATGTTATTTTGAGACTTTAACTCCTTTTGGGATAATGCCCCTTTGAGCTGAAAAAAACCTCTATATTAAAACTTCAGCATTTATTTTGAAAAGTATCAAAATAAACACACATAAAAACTTCTTTTCATTAGGTATCACATTTGAATTATGGTAAAAGCTGAAGGAAGAATGTTATTTCACAGTTAATTTTTAATGTGTTTATTACAGATAAATATTTTCAAAAGTAACAATGTGGAAGTATAATTATACAGTATGATAAATCTAAAATTCAATGATATAACAAAGTAAATTATGTACAAAAATTAATTATCCTCTTGGGAGAGTAATTACGTTCAACATATACAAAACAATAAACTAATTAGTTTTTATAACAGTATGAACACTCTGCACTGTTAATGTTGACTCATATTTTACATCACTTGGAAAATTAATTTTGATATTACTACCAAAATATGTTGTTACACTCCGAGGATTTTACATCCATGGCCAAGCAAATATTCGCAAAATAATACTTATGTGAATCTTCATTATATGTGAAAAAATAATTTTTTAACTTTGAAATACAATCTAAAAAAAAAAATAAAATACTAATCTAAAAATACAATCTAATCTAAATCAGTTTTTATCAGCTTTCTTGGAAAGCTATTTCAAAACTCAATAATTAATTAAAATAGTTATCAATATTTTTATTGCTTGCAGTTAACACATTACAAACATTTGCATGAAAAATTAATATACTACTCTGTAAATTACATGCTATTTCAGAAATATTAAATGGAAATGAAAAAGCAAATCTTTCATTAATCTGTCACATGTCAGTTTCTAAAAATAGCAAAAAAAAAAAATTATTATGAAATTAAAATAATAAATTTATAAAAAAAAGTTTTGGTCCCCTTAAAGACAGTAAAATTTAATCGTATTCATTATAGAATGCTTAATTGCATAATTTGACAAAGTAATCTTTTCTTATATAAACATAGGATCATTATCAATTTTACAATGCTCAACAATTACAAATAAAGAAGAGTTAAATAATGATACCTCTAATAATCAATAAATATCGTGCACTTTAAAATTTACAGCTGTTAACATTTTAAAAGCAGACCAGATTATTTAAATTTATAGAAAGATTTAGATTTTGCATATTTGTGATTAAAACACATTTAAATGTTTATCACATAGCAAAAATTTAACAAATATATTATTATTTTAAACGGTTATTATTGAAGCAAACAGAACGTTTCCTATTAACTTCATCTCCTATCAGCAAAAGAACCCTGTATTATCTTATGATCAGCTGCGACCTTTTCATTTTGGCACTTTAATTGATCAACTGCATGAGGTAAGATTGCCACTATCATTTCGAAACATTCTTGTGACCCCTTGACACTCCCAGGAAGGTTTATTATTAAAGTTTGACCTCGCATTCCACATACACTTCTCGAGAGAACTGAAAATTTGGATTTCTGGCAACATCCTAATATCATATGGGATGCGAGATGTGGAGCTTCTCGGTCAATAATTCCCTTCGTAGCCTCAGGAGTTACATCTCTTGGCGAAAAACCGGTACCGCCAACAGTAAAGATTAAATCTATATGTTTCTCATCAGACCATTGTTTCAGAACGTTCTGAATTTCGGATACATCGTCCGGTACACAGTGCTGTAACACTGAAGATACATGAAATGAATGCTGGCTTTTCAATAATTTTTCAAGATTCACTCCGCTTGAATCACTTTTTTCATCTCGAGAAACAGTATCACTAACAACTAAAACTCCAACAGAATAATCTAGCATTCTTTTCGTAGTTTCCATTGGAAATTAGAGAAAAGCGCCAAAACAAACAAATCACACGTGACACCAAAACGGTTGCAGCTAGCTCATCAGCGGACTAACCCGCAGTTGCGAAGAAAATGGCTCTTCAAACAGCTAGCAATGACGTCAATTTTTCTGTTGGTCAAAATTTGTTTTCTAAATATGCTTCTTCGATTTGCAAACTTTTCGTAGAAGAGTGTGGAATTTTATTCAATCAATAAATCCATTATTCCTCAATGCTTAAATATTGTTAATAAGGTATTGATAAATATTAATATACTATGTACTATGCATTAATGCACTTCCATCTCATGCACAATAATTATTTTTCTTGCTAAAGGCTTTTTGTGGCCATAACGATGTATCGCTCGACGGAGATCTTGATTACAAGTACAGTAAAATAGATGGAGCTAGCATGACGTCACACAAGTGAAATCAAGAAAATGTCAACAAGGTGTCAACCACGGAGTATAATGAACGCAGTGGCTAATCGCACCGACGGTGCGAATAGCTAACAGGCTATTCACACCACTTTCGCGCATGCGCACAATCAGCCCAGGTACCAGCATTTTACGCCGATTTCCGTAAGGTAGGCGGTAGCGAGAGCGAAGATTGTTAACCCTAACTCAGCAATAGAAAGGGTTGTTAATTGTTCACCAGCAAGAGAATAATTTGCAAGTAATAATTATCGGTTACAAAGACGAAGTCAATCTATATACATGATAATGTTCAGGAAATGATTAGATAAAATAGGGATTTAATGATGGTTCTATTTGCAAGAGAGGATGTGTAATTAGTTAAAAAATCTTTAATGTATTGACAAAAAGGCTACAGAAATTACTTAAATTCTTTTATTTAACAGAGAAATTTTTATGCAAACTTAGACCCTAGTCTTATAGCATTGGACTGTCAGAATTATTATTCAATAAGAAAACTTAGTGAAAATTATAATATTCTTATATATTCATCACTTTTTCAGTATCCACTCATGTTTATAGGTTAAAATGCCATATTCAAAATCAAAGTTATTTATGAAATAAAACCTTATAAAATCTGATAAATCATTTGTGTGTGCAAATTTTTAAATCTAAAACTCTTACATTAAATTATCTGTCTTTTAAATTACATCTCATTATTTATTTCAATTTACTTTATTAATGTGTTTGTACTAATATTTCAAAGTTCTTTGAAGTACTTTTTGTGTCCTGAAAATGCCAAGTACTTCCATAAAAAAAAATAAGCAGGTATACAGAATTGTCAATAACCAGTATTATATATTGTATTCAATAGTTGATTTAATCGCTTTTAAATCATTTCATGTCTAAATTTTCTACACAGAAATCCTCTGTCTAATTTTTATTATCTTTTCTCTGGACGAATATTTTCAAAGAAGAATGAATTAAAGTCTTGAATGCGCAAAACACATCTTTGGAGCTAAATGTATTCTAAGAAGTACAAAAAATGTAAACAAGATCCCCCCCACTAAATCAGTCATTTAAACTATTGCAACCGTTCAGGAAAACGATAAACATTGCGAACATAAAAATCTACTCTTTTTTATACATACTTTAATAAAAAGAAATGTTCCTTCTTTTTATAAGAAAAGGAACCCATTTTCCTTTCTAAACTTTTGAAAGTCGCCAACGCTTAAAAAATGATAAACTACGCCAAGGTAGTAACCCGCTTTTAAAAAAGAAGATTCCGGCAGTTCGCGTACGTGGAATCCGTTACGGCACTGACAATTCAATGCGCATGCGTGGTTAATGGTGGTGCGAATAGCTTAAGTGGCTAATCGCACCATTGGTGCGAATAGCATCGGTCGTATAATGAAGGAGGTGAAACTACCTAGTAGAAAAACGGTCCTAAAATGTCGCGTTCACTAGATGGCGCTGTTGTTCCATCTTACAGTTCCAAATGTAAACATTTATTGAGTAGCCAGGCGGCGAAGCTTACTACCGAATGAGAAAATGTTTATGTTTTTAATGTCATGGACTGCGTTATTATCAACGTTATATATTCTGCTCACTAATGATTGTATTTTATTCCTCAAATTATAAAATTAATTTACAGCTTTCATGCTGTAAGGCTTGTAGTACTTTTTATGAATGATTAATTTGAAGATTTATGAATGATTAATTTGAAGATTTATGAATGATTAATTTAATGATTATTTTTCAGTCCCTCCCCCTTAGAAAAATTATCATATTACTAGTAATAATACTTGCTGTATATATGTTAAATTTAATTCGCGTCTCTCATTTTGTAAAATTCTTAGATACACAGCTTGATATAAACTAAGGCGAAATTTTAATGAAGCTTATAGAATTTTTTGCTTCAGTCAGTAAATGTTCTTTACTATCATAATAAGTTATTCTTTTTTATGAATCAGATGTCAGTTTTGATTTTGATATTTTTATCGTTTTCTCTTAAAAATTTCCATATCTCGGTTATTTGAGAAGTATGTTTCAAATTGATTTCAAAAGATTTTAAAATAGAATTTGAATTTGAATTCAGTTAAGTAGTCTGAACGCTTGGTTATGCTGAACTATATTATTCATAATTAAATATAAAGAGTAAAAAATATTGACTAATTCAATCTATCTTTAATTCTGTCCTACTTGAACTAACTTCTAACCAATAAATGCAGTATTTTAACTAAAAATATAATGCAGATCTTTTTTATTTTAAAAGTACATGTCCTCTTTTCTTTCCAAAGGAGGAAAATTCTATCCCATTCAAATAGCCTAAAGATGAGTTTCTTATGTTCAGAAAAATTTTATCACAGTTATAATGTTATGATATTTTCTCGCTGTTAAGTTTCAAATTGGAACATGTAGCTTTTTTGAAAAAAATGCTTTGCATGTGTTATGTTTTACTGGAAAAGATCCCCTATTTTTTATTTTCATTTATTGAACTGATCATTTACTAATAGACTCTAATTACATTTGTTGCAAAACTACCAGTTTAATACCAGAATACCTAATGTATGCTTGCTGCGGTATTTAAAAAATATCATTAACTATATAAAACTAAAGTCTGTTTTCTCTTGCAGTAATTATTTACTTTTTTTATTCTCAATTTAATATCTCTTTTTCAACGATTAAAGACTCGCAGTGAAAGAAACAAGTTCAATTAAATAACAAAAATTTAATAAAAATGTAACAGTAATTATATAATCCCGAAACAATTTTAGCAGTATTGTTTTATATTGTTACACAAGGGTGAGCTATAGGAGGCTAGAGTAATTTCGTTAAATTTGTGTTCAATTTACAAGCACCCTTGTTCTTTTCCACCAGTAGTTGAACAGCAGAAGTCAGAAGTCACCAAATACTGCTAGTTTGGTCCTGGGTTCGAATCCCGCCTACAGGCTGGCTGCATGGTCAGCCATTCAATTATGTGATTAGGTGGCATGATTTTATAATATTCATAACGTATTTAATATGCTGAATTTATCTCATGGAAAATCAATTTTTCATTACACTTATCTGCTGTTATGTTTTCACTTAACCATGCAAGTAAAGTTAATTTTAAGCAGCACAGTGTTCATTTCCATTTATTATAAAAACCTACTTCAAACGGAAAAAAAGGGGAAATGAGTTAATCTTCTTTTCTGTAAATGAAATAAAGAGGCGAATATTCCATCATTCTTGAGTAATTCCAGAAATTTATTTATCCTTAAAATCTCAGGATTGCCTGTTTTCATGCACGAAATGCAAATGCACATAAGTGATGTGAAATATTTAACTAATTTCCAATTTAAAGTTCTGTGAAATATTTAACTAATTTCCAATCTATTACTTTTTAAATACCCTCTTATTTACTAGCAATCCAGACGTTCTGTAAAGTTATATAAATTCGTCTGACTGTGATCAGGCATGATATAAATGTTGCTCACCTTTGGAGCTCTAAATATACTTGGATTCTTGATTCCCAAGCTTTTATTCTTCTGCCTAACAGATGTATAACCACTGTTGCATCCAGGGACGAGGCAGGTTGCATTACAAGAATTGCTCATGATGGAAATTGATATCAAATCAATATTATCTGTATTGCTGCCTATGTCAAATCCTACGAAAAGTAGACAAGCTAACGATTGCAGCGCCCTCTATAAATAATGCGACAAAAGTGGACCATTTTTGGGAAAAGTTGTAATACCAGTTTCCCCTCCTTCTTTATACTCCGTGGTGTCAACTTATCATGGCCGCTATACTGAGTACGGTTAAGAAGACTTTGAGAGCAAATCTGAAGTACGCAAGCTCGGAAAAGTGTCTTTAGATATAGTTCGTATAAAATAACATTGAAACTTTCACTGGTCTTTCAGGATTTCCCATATATACATTTTTCATAAAATTACCATTTACAAATTTTCATGTACCTAGATTTTAATAAATTTGTAGCAGCTATTTGCAGTAATATATTTTTTCTATATACTAAATAGAAAATCTTTTATGTTAAATATTAGAATTAGAACAGGAGACTTATAAAAAGTGTTGTAATGAATAGTGAACTTGTGGACTATACCGATTAGAATGACCGAACAAACGCAATCAGAAATTCGCTTATGGCAGCGGCCATGATAAGTCGTGACGTCATTCCGTGACGGTTTATGCCTTAATTTTCATCCGGGCATAAGGGGATTAACTGCACATGTTTCTACATCTTGACACTCAAGAATAAAATACGTGTGTGGGACATACGAGGGAGGCTTACTCCATTTATTTTATACTCTTTGTTTGCATACTGTAGCGATCACGTGTGTGCTAGAGATCTCGGTGACTTCGGGTATGTATTTGCTTGCTCATGTTGCCATCTATTAGCACTAATGAGAAGTGCAGCAAAGCACGAGTTTCTCATTCCCTTGCAGATGATAATGACCTTACAATTCGATCGCGGGTCTGTTTCATGCGAGTGGAATTCTCGCATGAATATGCGAGAACAATAAAACTAGACTTCCGTGCGCTAGGTTCACAAATTCTGATTCTTTCAAATTTTTCGGGCGT